GTAGATGGGACCACAGACTCCCCCCGGGTGCGAACGTGGCACTGCCCTCCCCCCTCTGCCCCTCCTCCCTGTACTTTCCCGGACTCTCGACTTTGCCCAGTTGGTTTGGCTGCTGCCCCTGGCATGAAATGCTGTTTGTTTAGTTGGGACTGTCAGCCAGGCCACGTTAGAGAACTGTGTCATTTGTTGGATGCCAGCCCTCAGGGGTGTGACCCTGTGTGACCCTGGATCCAAGTGTGGCTCTGGGTGCCCGTGGGTCCTTCCCTTGTATGTGAGCTGGCGTTTGCATGAGCGCGTTTGGCATTGTGACATTGGCACCTGTGCCTGGTGCAGGGACGAGGACTTGGAATCGGCTTGAACACACACACCTGGGTGGGTGTGGAGGTGGTGGATGAGTGTGTGCCCGTGAGTGTCGGCTCCGTCTGCACAGTCGGGCGGAGGTGGCCTGTGTGCCTGAGCCCTTCTGGACTGGTCCCCCTGGCCCTGTGTGAGGCCCCTTCCCCCTCAGCTGTGTAAACAAAGCCCCGCTCCCTCTGGGGGGGGCGGGCCTTCAGGCCTGTGCCCCCTGCCCCTCCCTCCTGGAGCAGTGAGTTTGATTGACTGTGTGGGGTCGCAGGTTTGGAGACTGTATGAGTGGGCATGAACTGAAGTGTGTGCAGTCGTGTGTGTGCATGTGTGTGCGTGTGTGTGTGTGTGTGTGTGTGTGTGTGTGTGTGTGTGTGATCTGAGCGTCCTTTGCAGGCCGGGGGACTCCTGACCCGTTGGGCCCAGCTCTCCCAGGTTCCTGGGCCAGTCCGTCCACCCTTTTATAGCCGAGCTTGACAACAGCCCTATAATTACCTGGGGCCAGACACTGTGGTGGAGGCCAAGAGTTCAGTGCTGACCCTCCAGGGAAGGGGCCCTGTCTGCCCCCACCAGGCCAAGCTAGAGGACACCGGCAGAGGCCACACTTCCCAGGGCCAGGTTGAGGGCCAGCACCGCCAGATTAGGCCAGAGCTTTCTCCCCCTGCCCAGGCCCAAAGTCTCACACCTTGACCCAGCCCCCAAACATCTGGACCGTCCCCCATGTCCATGTCACACTTCTCTGGTCTGGCATCCGGGAGCTGCTGCTACCCAGCCTGTGTGCCACTACCTCCCCCCTGTCTTGCATCCAGCTCATGTCCCTCGTCCCCATTCATGTCCTCCTACCCCATCCTTGTCTCTGGTCTCCCGGTCCCAGTTTGTGTCTCCACTCCAATCCATGGTCCCTTCCTAGTTCAATCCAGTGGAGACCCCCGTCCCAACCCATGGGTCCCCAGAGCAGCCCAGGACCCTGGTTTGCCTGCTGGACAGAACAAGGACAGGAGGGAGAATGGATCAGACCTGAAGTCGGAGCAGCTCTGGGCTGGGCAGGTGTCGGCAGGCCCAAGCCTCCTGCCAGCCCCAGAGTGTCTAGAACCAAGGAGGGAAAGAAGGAAGGGGGGAGACATTCTGGAGTGGAGGCTCAGGCCTGGGCATGAGGGGTCCCGGAGAGCAGCCCCCGCTCCCTCCAGCGCTCAGCCCTACCCGTACGTTTATACCCCAAAGGCTTCAAGCTCCTGTATCGGTCCCCTGTCCAGGTGCATGGGGGACCTGACTTACAGTCCCCGTGGGCTGAGACCACGGCCCGGATTCCAGGCCCTCTGACACCTGGAGACTCGGAACCTCCCTCCCTGAGTCCAGAGCTGGGGTCAGTAGCTTCTTGTCGTTGTTTTCCTTTTAATTTTTGTTGATTTATTTATCTTACTTTGGGGAGATGGGGAAGGGGAGATTCACCTGTGTCCATGCGAACCCTCTCCATGCCCTTGCCCAGGCAGCAAGACGAGACCAGAGGAGGAAGAAGCCCCTGCTCGGGTGGGGGCTGCCCCTCTGGGTCCCGCTCTCCTGGACCCAGGCGGCCCAGCGCACTGGCTACCACCTCCCCCGCCTCAGGGCCCTGTGCTTTGGGGTGGGGACAGCGAGGTGAGCGGAATGTCCAGGCCCTGGGGCACCATCCAACAGCCGGCAGCAGATTCTAAGAGAACCTCAGGTGCTGGGGTCAGGCAGTGGGAAGGAGGTGGCTCAGGCTGGCTCCCTGTCCCCAGCTAGAGCCCTGCTGCCATCTGCCCCCACCCCAGGTGTCTTGCTCAGTCTCACACCTGAACTTCTCTGTTTCCTGTGGTTCCACCTGTGCACAGGTGTTGAGTCTCTCTGTGGACCTCCCTGCCCTCCCCCCTGCCCTCCCCCAGCCCCCCCACTGGGCTCTCTCACCACCCCCAGACCAGGCAGGCTGGAGGTCTGTCCACCAAGGTGCTCAGCCCTCTCCCTGGGCCCGTTCCTGCTCTGAAACTGAAACCCGCCTGAGGGCAAGGTCCCCAGCAGGACTCTGAGCTTCAGGGGAATGGAGAGGGATCCTTTTTCTTTTTTAGGGGGGTTATTTTTGAGGAAAGGGATCCTTGAGAGGGTGGCACTTCCTCCTTGACACGACTGTGGGGGTGTAAGAAGTTTCAAATAATACCAGCCTTCAATCCCCAGGGACACATGAATGTCCCCTTCCGGGGAAAGAAAGATGGACACGAGTTCCGGCCTAGCTCGAGACTCCCTGTCTCTGAGCCTCCCTTCTCACATTTGTAAAAGGAGGGGGTAGGATTGGCTTCCGCAATCCAGATCTGAGGTTCTTTTTTTTTGGCACTGGAGATTGAACTCAGGGGCTCTTAACCACCGAGCCACATCCCCAGATCTTTTTCTTTCTTTCTTTATTTTTAAATTTTATTTAGAGCCAGGTTAAGTTGTGTAGGGCTTCACTAAGTTGCTGAGGCTGACTTTGAACTTTCGATCCTCCTGCCTCAGCCTCCTGGGCTGCTGGGATTATGCACATGCGCCACTGTGCCCGGCTTATTTTACTTTTTGAGACAGGGTCTTGCTAAATTGCTGAGTCACTAGGATTATAGGTATGTACCACCCTGCCCAGCTCAAACCCACTCCTTTTTTTTTTTTTTTTTTTGGTACCAGGGATTGAATCCAGGGGTACTTAACCACTGAGCCACATCCCCAGCCTTCTTTTTTTTTTTTTTTTGAGGCTGGCCTGGCACTTCGGATCCTCCTGCCTCAGCCTCCCAAGCTGCTAGGATTACCACCACACTCAGTTAAACCCACTTTTTACTGTTTTCTTGGTACTGGAATGGAACCCAGGGCCTCATGCTTGCCAGATAAGTGCTCTAGCACTGAGCCATATCTTGAAGGCAGAGGCTGTGTCTTCTTTGTGTCTCTAGTCCCCAAGATAGAGCCTGGCATTTGGCAGGCACTCAATGAATGTTGCTTGGACACACAGCCAGTTGAATGAAGGAGTCCACCTTTTCAGTCTTATCTTCAGTAAGGAGGCTCGGGCTAGTCCACACTTCTGCCATTAAGAGACCCGGACATGATTCCAAGTTCAGCTGAGATTCCATTTCCTATGGACAGTGAGAGGAAGGGAACACAGATCCTGCCACCAAGCCCACTCTCACAACAACTCAGCCTCAGGATCCAGAGGAAGGGCACTTACCCAGGGTCCAGTCTGCCCACAGTAGGAGTAGAGAACCTGGGTGGGTTGGGGTCCTGTGGCCAGGGCACTTAAAAAGTGAAGCCCTGGGTACATTTTGACCTTACCCTCGTCCCCTTGTGCAGTGTTTCTTGGACAATCCTGACCTCACCCCCTCGGGCTCCTTGTTTTTTATGTTCTGTTTGTTTTTCGGTACTGGGGGTTGAACCCAGCACCCCCTGAGCCACAGAGCTGGGGCCCCACTGGGGAATCCCAAGCCCTTTTTATTTTTATTGATTTTTTTGGGGGGCATACCAGGGATGGGACTCAGGGGCAGTGTCCACTGAGCCACATCCCCAGCCCTATTTTGTATTTTATTTAGAGCCCGGGTCTCACTGCGTTGCTAAGCTTTGAATTGCAGATCCTCCTGCCTCAGCTTCCCTAGCTGCTAGGATTATGTGCGTGTCCCACTGCACCGGGCCAGCTTGGGCTCCTCGGTCAGCTTTACACATTCTCCGGTCTCTAGCCTTCTGTCCCCTCTGCTCTCCTGAGGGCTGCAGGTGCTGGAGTTATGTGCAGCTCCAGCCCCAGAAACGGGCATGTTTTTACATGAATAAAATTCCAAAGGGACTGGGGCTGGGGCTCAGCGGGTAGCACACTTGCCTAGCATGGGTGAGGCACTGGGTTCAGTTCTCAGCACCACATATTATTATTATTAAAAAAATCAACAACTAAAAAATAAATCAAAATTTAAAAAATTACAAGGAGTTATAAAGGAAACCAATTATATTGAAACACAGTTACCAAAACATTTACATTTTTGATATAGTAATATATATGCTTCTTTATTAACACATTGAAGACAAGAAAGGTCTAACAACTATGACCATTTCAAAGTAGTGATGAGAGTAAATGATATTGTGAGATATCGTCAACAACTACAGTGCAGTCTGAAAACATCTGTGATTTCTGCCCGTTACAAAGTCACAGGTCATTAATTACTATACTGTGGTTTGCTGCCCACATACATAAGAGAATGTTAAATTTTAGGTACAGGTAAGTGAAAATAAACATTTTTTTTTTCTGTCTAGGTTCACAAATCCCTGAAATCCAAAGACCCCAGGCAAGAACCTCTGATTACATCACAATGGGAAGAAAAGAAGACAATCACTGATAGAGCCTTTAATCCCCGTGTCATTTAATCCTTACACCAACCCTGAGAGGTATGGTATGGCCCAGTTGGTTTGACGGGATGGATACCTGAGGCCCAGAGAGGTTAAGGTCTTTGCTCAAAGTCAACCAGGCCCAACTTAAAGCCTCTCTTGCTCTCTCCCCACAGAGCTGCCTCTCAGAGGAGATAAGCCACAGCACAGTTCAGGGGCCTGTGTGGCTCAGAATCTCCTCCCCAACCCAGGCCTTGTGCCCTGTGGAGTAGAACCAGGGGAACGGAGGGCGCCGGTCCCTTCAAATCACACACACTCAGTTATTTTTTCTCTCCAGTTTATTTTTTTAGACTAAGAGCAGAGTATGAAAGTCACAGCCAAAGCACTTGAAAAAGGCCCAGGATGGGTGGGGACCACGTGGGGTGGGCAGGGCAAGGTCCTGGGATCTGGCTCCCGGCTCAGGGCTGGAAGGGAGGGGCGTCGTTGTCTCACGGTCTCCAAAAGTGTCTGTGCGTTGCATAGGTGCTGTCTTCACGGAAGACAAAAGAGGGGCCAGGGGGTCCCCGGCGGGGCCTAGCCTGGTGGGAAAGGGGTCTGAAGCTGGAAGGGGGGGTCAAGGGAGGCCGGGGTTGGGGAGGGAGAGGGACTCTGTCTGTACATTATATATAGAGATATAGAGTCTGTACATGCCGGCCTGGCACCCCAGTGCCCACCCCTGCCACCCGTCCACGGCCTGCCTCCCTAGGGGTGTCTACTTGTAAACTTGGATTTGATCCAAACCACAATCCTGCAAGTGGGAGGAGTGGGGGGAGGGGGACGTGCTTATTGCTGTAAACAGGGGAAGGGGCAGCGGGCAGTGCTACCCCCTTGCCCATTTAGTCCCCTCCCCATGTTCTGTCCCTGGAGGAGAGTGACGGGGCACCTTTCACGTTGGCTTGCGCTCTCTGGGGCATTTTTGTCTCTCTGGGGGGACAAAAGGGGAGGGAGCCAGGGGTCAGGGAAAGGTACCAGGGGGCAGGACGTCCTGAGAACTGCCCTTTATGGCCCCAAATTTGGTACCAAACATTACAGAGCCACAAGGTCACCTGGGACCTTTGACTGTCCCTGTGCCTGGTCCACTACAGTGCCCTATCCGGAGGGAGGGGCAGAGGGAGTGGGCACAATGCACGGTGCGGACCCCACTTCCAGCCATGGGAGGGGGTGCAGGCCCCACAGCTAGGCTTCCCGTTAGAGGCCAAAGACTCCTCGCTTGTTCACAGCCCCGCCCCATCTCTCCCCACCAAGGCATGGGACAGAGCTAGGAGGCCAAGAGTGTCATGAGGAAGAAGGCGATGCCCACGGCCAGGGGCAGGTGTTCCCTCTTGGGGCTGGTCCCGCTGATGCTCTTCTCAAGCTTGGGCACCTGGGGGTTCTCTCCCTCAAAGTCTTCTGTGGATAGATGAACAGACAGACTGGTGAGGGCTGGGCTGCGTGCCAGGGCTGGGGCACGCGGCAGCGGCAGCAGCAGTGGAGCCAGGGACGTGACCACCCACGGGGGCAGGAAGGACAAGTGTCCCAGGGGAAAGCATGCGAGGAGAGCAGGCACAGGGGAGGGGGCTGCGATGTCAGCAGTGGCCACCAGAGGGCGCTGCGCAGACTCACCCAGCACGTTGATCCTCACATTGGGGCCCATGGTGAACTGGGGGAGAGTGGGGACCGGCTTCTCCCCGGAGTGCGATGCTGCGGGGTGGGGTGCGGGCGGGGAGAGACGAGGGGAGAGTCAGGGCCAGGACCCCCTCCCCCTGCTACAGCTGGGGAGCAAGCCCCCCTCGCCTGTGCCCTCCGCCCCCAACCCACAGGAAGCCAGGGGAGCCCCAAAGCAGGGGAGCCAAGGATAGGGGTGAGGCTGGGAGTCGATGATACTCACTGGAGGCGCAGCAGACGAACACCTTCATCCTCAGACACTTCCAGTGCAGGTTGTGGGTGGGCGTGGCTGGGGAGGAGACCGGGTCTGAGTGGCTTTCTTCCCATCCGTGGCCCACGCCCTCCTCCCCTCCACGCTGCCCTTCCTTGGCCACTGTCCTTCGGTAGCCCCTACCCTTTGGACATTGGTAACTATGGCTCTGCTGTAAGCTTGCGATGCCTTGGGACCCCTGAAGTCCCGACCCAGGAGTCCCTCCTAGGAACAGCGATTCTGAGGCCCAAACTTGGGACGGTCACCAAAGCCCTCTCTTAGCCTCGCAGCCATGACTGAGCTGAAGCCCCCAGTCCCCCAGCTCATCCCGGGCCTCCCTCTCAGCCACTCGGGCCCCTGGCTGTCAACTCTGGCTAACCCTGGAGCCACGCCGCTGTCACTTACAGATGTAGTAGTACTCGTGGCCGGCGTGGAACTCGTAGCCCAGCGAGAAGGCGCTGTAGCGCTGGAACTTCTCCGAGAACTTGATGGGGCTATGGAGGGCGTGCGGCCGGTTGCACTCCCAGCGCTTGAAGCCCTGGCTGGCGTTGCAGGTGCGGTAGCCGCTGCGGCTCACCATGTAGAGCACGTACTGCTCCCCGCCGCCCGGCCCGGGGCCCGCTCCGGGGCCCACCCCTGAGCTGTTGTAGTGGGGGCAGTAAATGTCCAGGTAGTCGTTCACGTTCACCTGCACGGTGTAGCCCTCTCGCCGCAAGCTACGGGGAAAGGAAGCGGGTCAGAGGAGAGAAACCCCGGAGCCAGCCCGCCTTCCACACACCGCTCGCTAGACCCTCCCCGGGGGTCCCTGGAGTCCCCCGACTCTTCCTCCAAGCGCCCTCTCTTAGCCCTGTCCCTGTCCCCAGGGCCCTAAAGCCGCCAGCCTTTCCCTATCCCGGGCCCTCGCCTTCGTGGCCGGTCTTTCTCCTGATGGCCACCAGGGGGCAGCAGAGGCGCAGGGAAGCCCGGCCTGCTCCCCCAGAAGAGGGGCAGGGAGAGGGGCGGGGGAGGAGGAGCGTGCGCCTGGGTTGCCACGGAAACCGCGCAGGCCCCGGCGACTCCCAGACCCAGGCCCGGTTTCCTCCGTCCATCCCCCCTTATTTACCGGCTGGGAGGAAGGACAGAAGGATGGAAGCGAAAGGGGAAAGTGGGAGGCATCCCTTCCGTGAGAAACGCACCCGCCATCGCATCTCCCAGCATGCTTCCCTGCTGCTGCTGCCAGTCCAGCCCCAAGGCCAGTCCGACAGGACTTGCCCTCACAGACACACGTATGGCGGCTTCATGCATATACACGCACAAGTTCCATGGCACAGGTACAAATATGTCCACCGCCTACTCAGAGGCGGCATACTCTGGCTAAAAAGCTAAGCTGCATGTGTGCTGAGCCGCATGCCAGTACTAGTTGACCCCAAGACGCTATCACTGGCCTCTGTACCTTGATTCCCACTTACCTCCACCCCAAGGCCACAGGCAATTAGGTCCCCAATAACCTGACACAACAGATCAGGGAGCCTAGGGGTTCGGCACCAAGGCCTCGTGGCATCATGTCAACAGTCAAAACTTCTGTCTCATTACAACCCACCCTTCTTCCTCTACCCCGGGTGCTACTGCCCCAGTAACCATGTTCAGCCAAGTAGTGGGCACAGTGCCCAGATACCATGGCTGTATCTCTCACGTTCCAGATCCTTCTCTGGAACAGAGAAGCAGATGCTGGATCCCTAGTAATCCCTACCTGCCTTGCTAGTTACCATCCAAATGATGGTCTGAACACCCTTGATTGTGGTACTGAAGGGAGAAACCTCTAAGTGGACAGAGGGACGTGGAGGAGTGGGCAGGACTTTTTTCTAGCTTTCTTAGCGTGAGAATGCACACATATTGTCAGTGAGAAGGGAGTAGGGTGGACACAGAAAGACACCAGGTACCAAGCAAAATGTCAAACCTCTGGGGTCCCTAGTCCCTGGGAATTCCCCGAGGGGAGGGACTGGCTCTCTGTGTCACTTGGTACCACCCAGTTCCATAAGCAGTAATTAGATCAATTAGGGAAATGAACTTGGAGGTCTGGGCATGAGAGGGGCTTTGAGGGTCCTTCCCCACCTTACTCCACTTCCCTGGCTTTGCCTATACTACCCCCTCCCCAAGCAAGCCCTTCCAAACTTGGCAGTGAGGTGGATAGGTGAGAGCCGGTGTTTGGGCACCCAAGTGGGCATGGGCACAGCCTCCTTGAGTCATCAGGAATGCCACCAGTCCCACTTGGTTCCCATGGGAGTGATGGGTCACTCAGGCCCCTCCCTGGCCCTGGCACTCAGGTGGGCAGGAGTCTCAGCCTGGGGCACTGGGAGCAGGAAAACGGGTTAGACCAGGCCCGGCTCCTAGCCGCCTCCCTAGGCTTGCCGGTCCATCCCAACCCCACACAGTCTCCTGTTCCTCCCCTCAGGCTTTGGGGAGGGGGCCACCAGTGGCAAGATGCCAGGCGTGGGGCAGTTGCACAGCCACACTAGGGCCTCTGTCCTTGAGCCTCGCCCATGTTTCCAGTCCCATTCTGAAGGAGCCCCTCCCTGCCGCACCACCTGGTTCCTCCTACAACACACCCCATTCCAGCAGGGAGCAAAGCCAGCTCCAGAGATATTCCTACAGGTACCTGGGTTTCCTCAAGCGGGTGGGACCAGTCTTACAAAAGGTCACTGGGTGACCACAAGGAAAGAGAAGCTACTTCTTACCTATCCCTGTGCTAGGTGGCAGGAGAAACCATGAAATGTTCTCCAAAGCTGGGCACGTGGGGGAAAGATCTGCCGATGGGATGGCGGTGCCCATTTGGTATCTGGACGAGGGGGGTGGTGTGGAGGGACAGCACAAGGTCTGCCCAGGAATCCCTAGGGCAACTCCGAGGAGACTTGTCTGTTTGGCTTGGGCGCTTTAATTGAATCTGTCATCCTCCTTCGCCCTGGCAGTGAAGAGGGAGGTGCCGCTAAGTCCCAGCACAGCTCCGCAGTAACTCCGCCTCCAGGGCCCCACAGCCCCGAGGTAGGTGGGCTGCGATCTGGGGGCAGTGCTGCGTCCAGCACCTTCAGGCAGTTTTCTACCCCTCCCCTTCATCCTCATGTTGCATCCTCTCTGTCCCCCAGAAAGGAGCGTGTCCACACGTACCTAGACCGGGTGCCCCCTCGCCCCGTCATTTCAGTTTGTCCCGGTTCGCACCATCCTCGAGGCACGTCTCGACCCCTTTTTCCTTCAGCACCCCGCCTGACCCCGCTGGCCCTGAGTGTCCGCGGAGGGGGCTGGCTGGGCGGCGGGGGGAGCGGGGAAGGAGCAAGCTTCTCCCCCCGGGGCAATTAGGGGCTGGTAAACAGGGTGTCTCACAAGACCAGGGAGGATGGGAAGGATCCCAGGGGGCTCCAAACTTGCTAGATCCCTGTCCCCGGCCTCCGACGCCCGGGTGCAGAGTTGAGGGAGTGGAGGAGAGATGTGGAGAGACCTGCTTCTTCCCTCCAG